CTTAGTCTGAACAAAATCAACTAAGAAAAAAAAAAAATCAACTCAAGCCAAGTGTGGTGGCACATGCCTGTAATCCCAGCACTTGGGAGGCTGGGGCAGGAGGATCACCAGAAGTTCAAGGCCAGCCTGGGCTACACAGTGAGTTCAAGACCAGCCTGAATTACACACCAAGACTGTCTCAACCCCTGCCCCACCCCCACCCTTTGGCTGCTGCCCAATCAACTCAGCATGGATCAAAGACCTAAACATAAGATCTGAAACTCTGAAAAGTGCTCTGAAAAGACATAGGGAAAACACTTCAGGATACAGACACAGGCAGTTCTTCAAGAGGACTCCAAAAACTCAGTAAGTACCAACATTGACAAGTGGAGTTCTATCAAACTAAAAGCTTCTCTACAGCAAAAGAAATAACAGAATGATGGGACAGTCTACAGAATTGGACACAACCTTTGTTAGCTACTTTCCCAACACAGGATTAAAATGCACAACATAAGATGAACTCAAAAAATTTAACACCAAAAGAGAAATAACCCGATCAAAACTGAACAAATAAACTGGACCTTTTCAAAAGAAGAAGTACAGCAGGCCAATAATTATATGACAAATGTGTCAACATCTCTAGCTATCAGGGAAATGCAAATCATAACCACAGGGAGATTCCACCTCACCCTAGTCAGAATGGCTGCTATCAAGATTAAACAAACAAATGGACAAACTCTCATAAATGCAGAAAAGATGCATGGGAAAAGAAACTCTTACACTGTTGGTGGAAATATAGATTAGTACCGCTGCTAAGAAAATCAGTACAGATATTCCTCTAAAAACAGAAATACTACACAATGTAGATATACTCCTTGGTATATACCTGAAGGGATTAAAGTCAGCATACTACAGATATACCTGCATACCCATGTTTACTGTGGCACAATACACAACAGCCATGATATAGAATGGTCAATGGATGAATGGATTTAAAAATGTGGTTTAGATACACAAAGGAGTATTATTCAGCCATAAAAAGAATAAAATTCTTTGTTGGAAAATGAATGGAACTGGAAATTACAATGTTAAGCAAAATAAGCCAGACTTAGAAAAATATTATATATTTTCCCTAATATGTAGACCCTAGAGGAAAAAAAAGATGAGAAGAAAGTAAAAAGGAGGCTATTGGATAAGAGGAAAGGAGCTAGGGATGGGGAGGGTGGCCTAAGGGAGGGTAATCCAGGGATGGATATGATCAAAATGTTTTATGAATATATGAAAGTGCAACAAACACAGTATCTTATAAATTAATATGCACCAATAAAATGTATTTTAAAAATTAAATTTAAAAATGGGCAAAAGACTTAGGCATACATTTTTCCAGAAAAGATACACTAATAGCCACCAAAATATGCAAACGATGCTCAACATGACTAATCACTAGGAAAAAGCAAATCAAAACCACACTATGACATCGTTTCATACACATTAGGACAATTATCAAAACAAACAAAAATACAATGCATGTATTGGGGAGGATGTGCAGTAACTGGAGCCTCACACACTGCTGGTAGGGAGGTAAGCGAGGCAGCTGCTTTTAAAAAGTTTGGTGGTTCTTCAAGCTGTTAAATACAGCTTAAAGACATATGACTCAACAATACCACTTCTCAGAATATACCCAAGAGAAATGAAAATATGTCTATATAAAAACAGGTTACTAACAGCATTACTTATAATAATAAAAATGGAAACAACCTGAATGTTCGCCCACCAATAATTAAACAAAATGTGTCATAGTCATAGAATAGAAAAAGTACTGACAAACATTACAAGATGTATTGAATTATGCTACATGAAAGAAGGCAGTCACAGAACAGCACATTCTATTGCATGATTTCATTTATAGGAAACGTCCAGCATGATCAGTTCTGCAGAGACAGAAGACGGTAGTGGTTGCCTGTGAAGAGGTGTTTCTAAAGGGTATGGGGTTTCTTTCAGAAATGAGGAGCACATTTCAAATTAATTGTGATAATTGTACAACTCTGTGAATATACTAAAACCACTGAATTGTATTTTAAAAGAGCAAATTTCATGGATGTCAGTTATATCTCAAAATTTTTTCAAAGAGGGAAGATGGGCAGTCACTTTCAAAGTTAGATTACAGAAAGACTCTGGCTTTCTCTTCTTCAAACTCTCTTGTTCTCTTGCATCCTCGTTCTGACAGAAGGCAGTTGGCAGGCTATGAGTTGCCCTATGGGAGATCCATGTGGCAGGGATCTAAGGGAAGCCTCAAGCTAAAAGTTAGCAAGAAGCTGAGACCCGTGGTCCAACAGCCCAAGGAAGTGAATTCTTGCTGCTATGGTCCGAGTGTCTAGGCTCCCCCAGTGTCACACTGAAACCTAATCACCGAAGTATGCATATTACAAGATAGTCTTTGGAGGTGATTAGATTGTAAGGGCAATATTAGAATGAGTGCCCTTATTAAAAGAGGGCCTACAAAGTTAGAATGTGAGGACAAAGCAAGAAGGCTTCTTCTATGAACCAAGAAATGGGTCCTCAGAGTAGATTGAATTTTCTGACACCTTGCTCTTGGACCTCCCCGCCTCCAATAATACCTAGGACCAGAATGGACTAAGATGCCTGCCAATAATCATTTGAGTAAAGCTGAGAGCAGATTCTCCCCAAGGTGAGCCTTGAGAGGACTCTTTCCCTGGCTGACAACTTCACTGCAACCTGTGAGAGACCTGGATCCAGGGGACCCACCTAAGTTGTACCCAGACCCCAGACCACAGAAACTGTAAAAGAGTACATGCTGCTGCAATTGTCTATGCCGGCAGAATATAATTTTTTCTCTGAAATGTCCAGATTCATACTAATTGGTAGCTGCCACACAGGAGCTCATTTAACAGTCCGCCCTCTACCCCAGAAATAGATACCTCGTGCCCGGCGAGGAGTGCTGAGGGGATGGCCATTGGTCTCACACCAGCCCAAAGGAAATATATCCATGGATTCCACACTCACAATACATTCGGGCACAGGCTTCTTAGATCCTGTTTAAATTTAAAAAGCAGAACAAAACAGAGCACTTTTAGATCACTGAATAGCCTTCATAAAGTATAGTACAGTACTTTCTGAACAACATTCTATTGCTGCAATAATAAAGACACAAGTCTCTTAAGAGTATCTTTTCCATGGAAGTCATACTTTTTCATGTATGGTAAACATCATGAGAAAAGTACTACGCATAAGTTTTAAGAACCAAAATGGGTACTGAAAAGAAGGCCAAGCCTTAGTAAGGAACAGCAAATAAACAACTGGGACTACCAATGGAATTATTCAGGTGGCTAACAATTATAGGCAATTCCTTGAAATAACTAGAAACCAAAAGACAAAGTGACAGTTCTAGTCAATAACAACATTAGTTCTGGTACTATGGGAATAAGCCAGAAAATAGAACAGTACATTCAAATCAGAAAGTGAGTAGGCCAAGTTGCTCAGAGGAAGTTGCATGAAACCCTACATTTAATCTGTCCTTCGCTTCTGCATTAAATGCCAATTCTAAAAAATCAGAAGCAGTAGGTAGCTTCTCTGAGTATGACTATTGGCAGCAGGATGAAAAAGTAACCCAGGCCATGCACAGTACCTACTGCACTAAGTACTCACATAGCCTTCACCCTACAAATGTGCCCAATCACTAACACTAGGTGAGCAAAATATATAATCTCTACTTCATATACTTTCTAGTTCTATAGGTTTGGGACAGCGAAAACATTGTCTCATCACTAAGCCTATTGTTAATGTTCATGCTCATTTATTTTGGTCACATAAAAATACATTCTAGTTGACTTATCTTCAAGAAAATAAAGGACTCTAATACTCTTAAGTGAAATAAATTGGACACACATGTGTAAATACCACATTGTTTCTCTGGTATGAGAAACTGAAAGTATAAATAAGGACCAAAATGTACAACAGGTATTGTCAAATAGGAAAAAAAATGTTCAAATGGGGAGGGGAATAAGTAAAAGGGGAAGAAGAAAGGAAAGAAGGGAAAAGTAAAAAAAAAAAGGTGAGAAAAGAAGGAAAACATGGAAACAAAGCTTTTGTAAATGGGGAGAGGAGGGGTTGAAGGGAGGGTAGGGAAATGGGAAAAATGAAGTTATCTCATGTACAGGTACAAATTTTCAATCTTTTTTCTTTTTCTTTTTTCTGTTTTTTTCCGGTACCAGGAATCAAACTCATGACCTTGCGCTTGCCAGGCAGGTGCTGTGCCGCTGAGCTAAATCCCCAGCCCCAGGTACAAATTTTCTATGATGAATATGATCATCACGTATATCTAAAATGTATCAATAAAATCTGATTAAAAAAGAAAATAAAGGACTCTATAACAAAGGTTATTCAAATTCATTTCCTAAAATTTGAAAGCCAAGGACAGGAAAATAATTTTTAGCTTAGAAAGTTGCATTTCAAGTTAAAGTCTTTGAAAAAAGATCATTTACTTGTCCCTTAAGTATAACAAGCTACAATAAGCAGTGAACAGGAAGAGCAAAGGAGAATGGCCATAGAAACTTTAGGAAAGCCTGCACTTACCCTCTAGCTGGAGCCACAAGTAGGAGCCTCTGACTGCAATAATGGTGGCAATGCACACTTCTTCTGGGAGAAGAGGGTTCACCGCCTCGAGTTTCATGTTCTCCTTAAACTCATGCTCAGAAACTGACTAAAAAAAATGAGTGAATCAAATCAATTTACTGAACAATGTTTATTTCTGGATGGACAGTAGTGAAGAATGAATGAGAAAGGACACGAGGGTATTTTCTAGGAATAACACTAACTAATGTTCTACCACCTCCAACTTCCCATATTGGACATTCAACCCAGGCAATACAGCACACTAAGCTACATTGCAATCCCAACCCCTTGCTGTAATTTTAATTTTATTTTGAGATAGGATCTCATTAAATTTCTCAAGTTAGCCTCAAACTTGTGACTCTCCTGCCTCAGCCTTCTTAGTACCTGGGACTACGACATGTACCACCGTGCCCAGAATGTTCAATTGTACGCATTTGTTAAAACTCATCAAATGATATATGCTTAGCTCGATGAACCTTTTTGCAAGTAGCATTCAATTCCTAAGTCTACTTTAAAGCTGAAAATTTATTTTGCTTTTTTTTTTTTTGGGTATAGGCAATTGAACTCAGGACCTTGCACTTGCCAGGCAGGTGCTGTGCTACTGAGCTATATTCCCAGCCCTTTTATTTATTTATTTATTTTCATGGAAGCAAAGTGAATAACTTGGTGTTACAGGCAGCATGGTCTTTAGATAAGAGATTCCTGGATATTGCTACGTGGATGATGACCCTGCTCAAACTGTGTAATCTCTTTTTCCCTCACAGTTTCCTCATCTGTCAGATGAAATTAAGCAGTGAGTTATTACAAAGTATCAATGAAATAAGGCACCTAAGGCTCTGAGTCCTGAACCAAGTGGTTCTCAACCACTGTTGATTCACTTCTCCTCCCTGAAAAGGCTCTATCAGGAGTGAACTGCCTGGCTCATATGTGTATGTATATCTATAATAGGCAGTCAGGATAAAAAATGCTTACAAATGGGGAGAGGTCATTTAAAACACTTTAAAAATTGCAGCTTCTAGATCAAGACAGACAACTGAATATCAGCATTCAACAGTTCTCCTTTCTGATAATTCATCATTTTTTTTTTTTTTGGTTTTGGTTTTTCTCTGGTACCAGGAACCGAACTCATGACCTTGTGCTTGCCAGGCAGGCGCTTTGCCGCTGAGCTAAAATCCCCAGCCCCTTCTGATAATTCATTAAAAGGGTTTTTTTTTAGATTTTTTTTGTTTTTGTTTTTTTAAGATATAAAACTAACAGGATGGATATAACAGAAGAGGACACATTTTACAAGCCAGAATTTAGAACAGGGTCTTTTAACTAAGTATAACAAAGAAAGGTGAATTTCAGCTGGCAATAAAGAAAGCTAAGATTTCTGAAACAGGTACTGGGCAAGTGGAGGTAGAAGAGAAAAAGTCAAAAGAAGAAGAATTTGTTGGAAACATTTAAGAAGGATTTAGGCTCCTCTACTCCATCTCCAGGGCAACTGTCTCTTCTCCTCCCCTAAAAGTGGTTAGATTTATCCTCTAGACAGGGTAAAACATAAGATCCCTGGGCAAGAGGACACAAGGAACTGTTAATGGCATGCATGGAATGCCATAGCCTGGCCCTAGCCTCAATCTGTCAGGCAAGGCCTAGAAGAGACTTCTTCTGGTAATACAGTAAGCCCAGGAAGAAGCACATGAAGGTAAAGATTTAAGTTGCCCTAATGAATAGTGGCCAGATCCCAACCCGGGGGAAAGTTCAAGGTTGACAGGCCTCTGTCACATGCTCAGTTTCCAATCAGTTTTTCTTTAATCTCCCATTTTTTAAATATAAACTATAACCAAGAATTATTAGATATATAAAGATACAAAACCTATAGACCAAAACATAAAATAAGCAACTTAGAGAAAGTAGTGACTATGCAAGAAAACTTCCCAAAAGGTGGTTATGTTAATTAACATTCTCTGAGAAAAAAACTAATGTATCCTTAAAACAAGAATGGTATACCATGAAAAATAAAGAACTATTCAGAGAGGAGAAATAAAAAAAAATGAAAAAGTAGTTTAAAAACCTAAAATCTCAAAAGGGTTTATATCTTCCAGAAAGCAAGACAAAAAGAAAACAGAAAACAAGACAAAAAAGGTTAAAAAAAAAAAAAAAGTAGAGCTTAGATCCAGAGGATCAATATCTACAAATTTAAAATTCTAGAAAGCGACAAGAGCAAAAAAACAAAACAAAGGAAATAAAAGAAATGATTCAAGAAAATCTCCCAGTGCAAGAAGGCCTGAGTGTGCAGACAGAAAGTGCCCACACCGCGGTGCACTCCTGTGAGGAGAAGCAACGGGAAGATCAGAAACCTCCCACCACAGGAACATCAGGGCTCCCGCAACAGATTGAGGCTAAGAACAACTTTCAACTTCTTGGCAGCAATACCAGAAGTCAGAAAACACCTGAGTAATGTTTTCAAAATTCTAAGGTAAAATAACTTCCAACCTAAAATTCCTTATTAAGCCAAACCATGAATCAAGTTAGTAGACATTTTCAAATATACAACAATTTATATCCCTTATACCATTCTAGAAAAATACTGAGAGGCCATGGCTCCATAAAAATAAGGAAGTAAACAGAATGGGGAAGTCATGTATATTACAAAACTGGAGACCTCAAATCATGGGAAACGAGGAGAGGGCAATTCCTTGGGTGACAGTGAAGGGCAGTTCCACAGTTATAACTACAGGGCAAGTCTGGAGAACCTGTCCAGAGAGAAAAAGTGGAGGCCATCAAAAAGGATGTCTAAGAAAAATTTTAGAAATGAGGAACTTCCTCATGTAAGAGGCAGCTATTGGAAGACGCAGCAGTAGATACAAAGGAAAATTAACCACATGAAAAACAAAGCAATTGTTAACATGGAAACAAAATTTAAAAAGAGGAATCATAAAATACTGCAAGTGCTCAGTTGTAAATGTTTTAATACCCAAATTACAGCAAAACTTTGAGATTTAGCCGAAAATTGAAATATAACCCTAACAGGAAGAAGATGCAAGCAAGACAAAGGGGGAAGGTAGTGTAAAATAGTTAAATGCTCATTTATGGTAATATAATCAACAGGAGGTTCTAAAATTATGGCAGTATATTATTTTGACAATGAAGTTAAGTGCCAAATTACACATGCCTGATGAAAACAGGAAGTGGTAGCCAAGCATGGTGGCACACTCAGGAGGTTGGGACAGGGGGATCACTGTGAGTTTGTGGCCCATCTGGGCTACAGAGTGAGTTCAAGGCCAGCCTGAACTACACACTGAGACTCTATCTCAGGAAAAAAAAAAAAGAATAGGAAGTGGTTACTCCTGGGAAGTGAGGCTGAGGCAAGTAATAGGACAGAGATTGTGTTTCTGCATTCTAAGCTTTTTACTGCTATTTTGTTTTTTAAAAGCATAAGGCTATATCATTTGGATAGAAGTATTTTTAAATAAGCTTAACAATTTTTCCACTTAATATTTCAACATTTTTTCATATTACAGTATGAATAAAATCTCAAACTCACGTGATTTCAGTTATTACCAAAAAAAAAAAAACCTGCTAAAACTTGTAAAACTAACTTGATTAGCAAATTAACTTCTGCAGTAAATGCATTTTTCTTTGTACCATTTCATTACAATCAGCAAAGTGGTCATTTGGGTTGAGTGAGATGATTAACTTGAGAGTTAAGTCATAAAAAGCAAGGGAAACACAGCAGTCTCCGCAGCCCTGACGTGGTGGCCTTGAGGGGTCTCACCAGAGGGAAGCACCGCTGGGGAGCAGCTTCAGCACCACACTGCTTGAGGTAGTCAGCCCAGTCGAAGTCCTGGCTTGGGTATCCTGTGTGGAGACCAAGAGCAATGATTCACATCACATGTGCTTCTCTGGCTCTACTACTCTGCCAGGTGTCCACCCACGACTTCCAAATGTTGCTAATTTTAGAGGGGAGAAACATTCCATAAATCCAAGGTATAGTTACTATTATTTTCAGTACTGAGAAACTGAAGCTGGGAGCACTCTGTCACTGAAATACATTCCCATCCTTCCTCCTTTCCTTCTTTCCTTCCTTTCTTTTTTTATTTTTTTGGAGACAGGGTCTCACTAGGTTCCCCAAGCAGGACTCAAACTTGAGATCCTCCTGCCTCAGCCTCCTCAAGCGCTGCGATTACAGGCTTTACGCTACTGCACCCAGCTTTTTTTTCCTTTCCACCTTCAAGTACTTGGACTGAGCCTAGGGCCTTGCACAGTTAAATTTTATTAAATAGAGTACTTCTGGTCAAACTCTAATACAGTGCAATTCTTTGGATAAATTGGTAAACTTTCAAATTTCAAACCACGTATTTTGAGCAATATTTTATATTATTAATTGCTGGCATTTACCAGAAGAATTTAAGATAGTTATGACCGGATTTGATCAGTACAAATGAATCTTGTCTTATTAGGAGTTATGTTTGACAGCCAAGAGATAACAAATAATACTATTTAATTAGTGAAGACTTTTTTTTGATAAGGTTATTTATTTAAAACATGTCTTTAGCTTATTACTGATGCAATGCTCTTAGCACTGTTTTCATATGTATGTGTTACAGAATCTTAGTGCTTGGAGGGTTGAGAAGAGGATGATTAAGAGATACAGGTGTGCAGTAGAATAAGTGGGATAACTTTTGTTATACAGTACAACATTTCAAAACAGCTAATAAGAAACGATTTTGGATTTTCTTAACACACACAAGAAATGATGGTTCTGTGGTGACAGACGTGCCAATTACCCTGATTTGATCATTATGTAGTGTATATATGCACTGAAATGCCACACTGCACCCTATACATACATACAATTATTGTGTGTCAATTAGAAAAACATTTTTAAAATCACAATGCTCTTATAATTTAAATCATGAACAGTTGGGCGCAGTGGCACACGCCTGTAATCCCAGAACTCGGGAGGCTGAGGCAGGAGGATCGTTGTGAGTTCGAGACCAGCCTGGGCTACAAAAATGAGCTCAAGGCCAGCCTGAACTGCATAGTGAAACCCTGTCTCAAAAAAGACAAAAAAAAAAAAAAAGGTAATAATAATAATAATCTAAATCATTAATTCACTTCAGGAAAAGTTAGGCTTAAGTCCATACTTCAGTCTACCAAGGTACTGATACGTTTCCAGACTAGTGCCTTGATCAGCACCATCTGCATGCAAGGAGCTGGGTGAACTGTTTGCTGTGTCTGAGTTGCTCTGTGCCTTTGCAGAGCTTAATACTGCAAAGGCACTGAATACTGCTCAAGACTATGCTTCCTGCCAGGGGTGGTGGCACACACCTGTAATACTAGCACCTGGGAGGCTGAGGCAGGATCTCCATGACTTTAAGGCCAGCCTGGGCTACATAAGTGAGTTCAAGGCCAGCCTGTGCTACATAGCGAGACCCTGTCTCCAAAAAAAATAGACTATGTCCTCCAATTGCCAAACAGCCCCTGAAATCACTTTTCCTGCCCAGCTGAGAAATACATGCCCTCCCTCTCATTTCCCAGCAGTACACTTTATACCATGAATTACATAATATACCTTCTCTCTGTTTACAAGGCAACTGCTGAGGCTATTAACAATGCTTAAAATTCTGGTATCTTTAGTAACTGCTTTTCTCTTTCCCATAAAGGGGGAAAAGCAGGATAAAGAACTTCAGAATGTTCCTTCTGTGGCCACCTGCAAAGGATGAACTTCCTTTTGCAGGTATTCCATACCACACCCGGCCACAGGGCACTGCTAAGCTCTGCTCCCTGATAGGGAACAGGGCAACTTCTGTGAGCGTCTCCCCCTGTGTCTGAGTTGCCCCATGAAGGAACAGAGTGATACTTGTTTTTATGTCCCCGGTGAGATAAATGTCAGATTCAATGTCTGGGTCACAGCAAACATTCCATAAATGTTGACTGGATGAATGAAGGCAAAAAGGAAAGCCAAAGGCTCTGAGTTTACAACCCCTTTTAACCCAAAAGAGTAGTTTCAGCCCACTGTTCAGGATTTAGTAGTATTTAGAAAGGGAGGCCATGCTTACCAAAAGACTACTAGTGAAGTATACATAGACTTCTCATCAAACAATCTGATTTACTCATATAAAAATCAGATAAATATCTGAGATTTTTCCTGATGCTCTAAGTTTAAAAATATTAAAAAATTTCAGCTGGGGGTGGTAGCACATCCCTACAATCCCAGCACTCAGGAGGCTAAGGCAGGAGGATCACTGTGCATTCAAAGCCAGCCTGGGCTACAAAGTAATTCCAAGTCCAGCCTGAACTACGTAGCAAGATCCTGTCTCAAGGAAAAAAAAAAAAAAAAAGAAATTCACTTAAGCACAACTAAATAATAAAATGCCTCGACTAAAAGGTCAAAACTACATTTTCAAAGAACTGTTACTTTCCTACTTCAAGCCTCTCTGAGTCCTCCTTTCAACCCTAACTTCCCACTACAAACACCTTCCACAAGGCCCAGATTCTCAACCTGATCAGTCATTTACCTCCCAGCTGTGGCTCACAGGTCAGATCCCAATACTCAGTGTACATACCAGCCCATCCCCTATGACTACCCAACAGAGGCAAGATGGAGCCCACACAGAGCCAGCAGAGAACCTGGACATGAATTTGGACTTTTGATCATGCAGACCCATGTGGCAAAGTCTGAGGGTGGCACATCCTCTAACTGTTTCTTAATTATCACTTTCAAATATGTAAATATATGCAATCCAGACCTTCATTTTTACTTGTCCCAGGGCCCTAAAATATTAGGGCTATGAAGAGTGGGATAAAAGAGCTTGGAAATGCCATCCTACACAACTCATTTAAAGGAACAACACTGACGACCACGAGTGCATACCTGGAGGTGGACTAATGTTTACACCATTCTTTAGACTCCACTGCACAGGGAAAATGCCGGGACTGTTAACATGGCATACAAATGATCGCCGTGCATGGCCCTCTGGTCGCAAATCGTCCATCTCCACCAGAAAGTACTTCTCATCAAAAACCTGCTCATGCAATTAACAGATGAAATAAATGGTTACATACATGTGTGCACATACATACACGTACACATATGCTTTTTTTCTCAGCACAGCCAAAAGTGTCACAAAAGTGCACAGTCACATTGGGTAGTAATAATGCTAAATGCTCAATAAATGTTAGCTCTGTGTCAGACACCACTTTAAGTGTAACACATGATGGTCAAAATATATGGTGAATATTTACATTTAAAAAAAATAGTAAAAGACACATTGCCATCAATCTCCCTCAAAATATTCCCCTTACTTCAAATGCATGTATTCTATAATTCTTGCCACTTTCTGAAGCAGTTTTGGAATTTCCTCTCTGACGAGTGTCTTTAAGAGGTATAATGAGGGGCTGGGGTTAGCTCAGCGGCACAGCGCCTGCCTGGCAAGCACAAGGTCGTGAGTTCAATTCCTGGTACCGGAAGAAGAAACAAAAAAACAAAAACAACAACAACAAAAAAGAGGTATAATGAAAAAAATGGTGATGCTGTTGCCGAGTGCCATCCAATGGAAAGGCAGGCTTGAAAACCATTAATTACAGTGTGTCTTTATCCACAGGATTTGGCACTGTGAGACCTCTGGTTCTTTCCCACAGTCAAAATGATTATGAAAGGTAAACATTTTGAATCAATTAAGGACATTGAGGCAGCTAAAGACACACACCAAAGAGATGACTTTCAGAACTACTTCAGAAATTGCCAAGAATGATGTGATGTGTTCAAAGCATGGGAAAATATTTTGAGGGGGATTAATGGCAATGTCTCTTTTACTGTAACAATTTTTTAATTCATCCTCTTTTTTATCAGACCACATACTAATTTAGTTTTAATCTTCCTAACAATCTAATGACAGAGGCTATATTAACAACTCCATTTTCTAGCTAAGGAAAATGAGCTTTAAAAAAGAGTAACATTCCAGGTTATACAGTCAGGAAGTAGCACAACTTGGATTCAAACCCAATAGCTGGACTCCAAGTAAAATTTAGTTTAAGTTTAGTGAAGGGTCAACTACAGATCCTTGCCCAGTTTCTAATGCTGAAGAAAAGCTAATAAACTTCCTCTAGCTCCTAACCACACATTTCTTCAGATTCCAGATACAGTATTATGACTTTACTTACAAGTTCAGAATTCTCGCTTGCTCAGAGAACACTCTTCTACCAAGATGAGGAAAATTTATATCTCAGCAGGTCAGATGTTTCAGCAGTCAAGAAACTATGCCTTAGTTGCTCTCCATTTCTGGTTCTACTCTCTGTAAAAGGGCTTCTGCTGTGGTCCTAACCCTAACCCTATCCCTTATGTAGTAACTGAATCACTGGCCCTTAACAATGTGCTCAGCTCTTCTGGTTACTCCTAATAAAAGCCTGACATCTGTCAGTCTTTTGAGGAGTAAAATCTGAATCTGGAATATAGGACTGTAGCCATCCTACTGCCAGATCTTGTGACAGTGAGTGCCTGTTTCGCATATATCTCCTGATCCCAATAAACTCTGTACCAGGCAGGACACTCCCTGCCTCCACACTTCACGGACACAGTAACTACATACTAGTTAAAGGTCCCCCAGATATATATACTTAGGTCTGTCACAAAGAATAGCCCCACTCCCCACTATTTGGTGCCTAGGCCCTAAGTGTTCTTTTTTTGACTACGGCTACCAAGCCCCAAAGAAAGAACTGTCCATAGAAAACTGAACAATAAAATACAAAATGTGCACCGAAGTAATTCTGGCTGGCCTCACAAACTGAATGTTTTGTTTTGCTTTGTTTTCTCTTTTGAGGTTAAGTTTTGCTAGGCAGTTCAGGTTGGCCTTGAACTCACTATGTAGCCCCCGGCCTCAAACTTGAAGCAATCCCCCTGCCTCAGCCTCCAGAGTGCTGGGATTATAGGAATGCACCACCATACCTGGCAACAAGTTGGATTAACAAAGAATGAAGATCAAAGCACTACAATTTCCTAAACCAGTCACTATGATGGGGATGTTTCCCAAGAGTATTCTTTCCATTTTACCTTAATGACCGTAGCAGGAGAGATCTCAAAAGGTGACCATGGGTACACAGCTTCCAACTTCATATTTACAGAGAATGCATGAATGCCAATAACCTGTTTGTCCTGAAAGGCAAACAATGAAATGGAATAAAACTGCAGCATTTCTGTATTAACTTTATACTCAGATGCAACTGAATAGTGCTCTAATCAATTAAAATAATGCCCAACTTCTGCTAAGTCCTATAATTTCTTTCCTGAAAAAAACTATTCAGGACAAAAAAAACCATAGAGGGTACATTTTCTCTCTACATTTCGAACACAAGGGACATCTAAAGGAAAAAGCAAATTTATTTTATAACAAGTTAGGTGTATCTATTTAAGAGTAGAAGAGAAAATATTCAAACTGTCTTATGAGAACTTGGGGAGAAAATCTAAACAAGCACCGCAAGAAAATGAGGGTGATCATAGGTCCAGCCTTAATCCCGCCTCCCTCCTGTACAGGCCAGAGAACTCTCTGCGTCTGGGAGTTATTTTCCACTTTTTCTATTTCCAAATTGCTTTACTCTGCTGTGAGAAGAGAAAAACTATCTATCAAGTGTTTTTGCTTTTACCTTAAATAAATAGGATGGCAACGGTTCTTCTTCCTCCTCTTTGACTTTGGCCAAAATCTCCTGCCACTCAGCTTCATTTTTCAAATGTCTGATGGCTTTAGCAAGACAAGAACATATGTTTAGATAAGAAGGTCTATATACTTTTTTCAACTATTCTGAAAGCATCCACATTTAAAAAAAAAAAAAGTACTTCTCACTGGAAACAGGATAGAATTCAAGCCCTTTATAATCATCTTCACTCAAAAGAACTTGCATCTTAACCTCAGTACTCTGCTCTGTTCAGAGCCCAGAGAGCTAAGCTTTGTGAAAATGCCTACAATAAGATTGTAAGGATTCCTGTAGTCCATAAATTAGAGTTTATTTTAACAGAATCTGCTGTGAACCCAATTTACTATATATACCTATCTGAATGCTACCTAGAGAATTGTTTTCATTGTTTTGATAAGGGATTAGCAGTATGAGTTTGGACAGAAGTCTATGAGTTATCAATATGATACATTTATTAAGTGATAATTTATCAAGTGATAAATTATAAATTCAAGAAAACAGAAAGAAAAATAGGCATTCAGTTTTAACAACATATAAATTTGTTATAATATCTCTATTATGTGAGCTAACGAAGGCTTTAATAAAAATTATGTTTTTTAATCTCATGGACATGAATAACAATAATAATGTGTTAACAAAAAAGTGTATTACTCTTTACCTAATGGGGGCTGCAGTTCATATCCTTGTTGAGCAGCCCAACCAACATGATGAAGAAATGGATCCAAGTAATACAACCAATGCTCAAAATTATCAGAAGTTTCAAGTCCTTCGTAACGCAGTTTCAGCCGTCCCCCGATGTTTTCTACTACAGTAACAATCCAAATACTTAGAGAGTCCCAAAAATCTTGGCATTCCAGCCTAGATCCTGGAGCAATGAGATCTAAAGGATTCCTTCCATGGCGGAGCTATATGTTAAAAAAGTAAAATTATTAAATACGAGAAGTTAACATATTTTTAGAAGTTCTAAATTATTTGAAACCAACTTTCACATTTGTTTACTTATCAAAAGCTAGTGACATTGTCAACTCTTACACAAACCTCTTACATTATTACTTCTAAATGATACGAAAATGCTTATCTTAAAGAAAATCTACCTATAAGACAATAAAATTACTTTTCAAATCTCTTATCTCTAGACTTGTTTCATTTAGTAAGAATTTTCAGAGTATCATCACCACTTTGTCTCCCACTATAAAAGTAAATATAGTCATCATTAAAGAAAAAAACATGTGAAATTCTTCTATTATCCCACCTCTAAGAACTACAGTAAATACTTACGCATACACTCTTTTCTACACACAAATTGATATCCACTGCTACCTCTTTTTCCCCTATTTTTTCAAAATGGGAGCAGTATACACTTTTTTCAGTTTGTTCTTCACTGATTACATTACAGGTGTTTTTCTAGTGTGGCAGATGAAGTCTTTCTCACTTTTACAACTGTTTTATGATATTCTGTATTGTAAATGGGCAATGATTTATCCACTTACTTTCTGATGATATCTTACTTATTTCTGATTTTTTTTTACTCATATTACAAGGTTCTAATGGATCCAGTAAGAATTTTTTATTACACTGAAGGAAGGGAAAACTAACTCTAGATACATCTTTAAAACTACAATAAAAAATAGAAAAGGAACACTCATTCCAAAGTCATCATTTAGTCATTTCTTAACACTCAATCTTTCATTTCTTTCTCAGTAAAAATTGCTCTGTAAAACTTCCATATCCAGGTATGCAAAACATATAAACAAATGGAAGAACACATTCACAGATAAAAATTTCAAGATGGCATAATCATGGTCAGTGCAGAGCAGAATATTTTATCAGTGCATTTATTCAGGTTTCACTCATTTATTCAAATTTTACTGAATGTTTTATACATGTCAGGCTCTGACTAAGCATAAAGAAATGAGTCAGACTATGAAAAATAAAGAACTGCTTGAAATATAGTACTCGGCAATCAAGATTTAAAAGGGAATGTGAACAGATCATAAAATTAAATGTAAAAGCTAAAACTGTAAAATTCTTAGAAGTATAGGAATAACTTTTATTAACCCTGGGCTAAGGAAAGGCTACTTAGATATAGTGCCAAAAGCACAAACAACAAAAGAAAGATACAGTACGTTAGACTATATAACGAAACCCTTTCAAATGATTAAAAAAAGACAACCCTCAGAATGGAAGAAAAATGTTTGAAAATCAAATATTCTATCACAGTACTTGTACAGCATGTATAAGGAATCCTTCAGTTCAGTAATAAAAAGTAAACCAAATTTTAAAATGAAGAAATCATTGCTCCAAAAAAGATGTATGAGTGACACATAAAATGATGCTCAACCTCATTAGCCCTTAGGGAAATTCAAATCAAAATGAGTATCACACTGATGAGAATAGCTATAATCAAAAATGCTAACAAGTAATAGCAAGGATATAAAAAAAACTGAAACCTTTAAACATCACATTTCACGTACATATGCCACAAAGAATGTTACTAGTATGCTAGAAAGTGGTAAGGTATAAGTCAGAAAGCCCATAACCAATACATTTTCACATAATCAAAAAACTATACCCACTAACAAACTCAAAAGGTACACAATTTAAAAGGACTGCTGAAAGTTTGTAGAAGTAAAGTCTGAGCAATGAAAAGGGAGTCTCAAGTTATCTGGCATGAGTTACAAATGCCCACCCTGAAGCAGAATCAACTCCTGCTCAATTCAACAGTGAGAGCTCTCAAAGGCTCCATTTTCTAAGAGTATAAAAGAATCTGGAAAACTAGATTTTTATGTATTAGCAATGAATTCAGAAGACTTACTTTGCAACCTCTAAGGATGAATTTAAACTTTATAATACTTACGCCTATGTCTCTAGTAATAATATTTATTTGCTTCAGAGTAGTAAATTAGCAACCAATTTTAGACTCCTTGCAAGAGTTTTCCACATTGATTTTGGCATACAATAATACTCACGCCCTCTAGCAGTGGAACAGGAGGACTACATGCTCCGGTCAGGGCCTGCCGCAGAAATGCATCCCAATCAGACACTTTATCTCTGATACCTAGATGAGGGAAGAAATGACCATTACTCATGGTGTCAGCCACAGAACACAAAGAACCCTGACACACAGAAATGGCTCAGAGGTATGTTGGCCATTCGCAAATCCAGAAGTTCAATGTACTGCTTCTTTAGGACCATGAAAAGACAAGATAAAGAAAAATTCTTCAGACTTTAGTAATAGTTCTATACAAAACAATTCCCTGTTACCACAATTTTAGCCAAAAGGCACATGCTGTATTTTTACAGGAAAATTTCAAACATACATAAAAAGTACAAAAAAGGTATAATGAATCCTTATGTACTATCATGCTTCAACAAATGTCATCTCATAGCCAGCCTGTTTCATCTACACCAGGAATTAGCAAACTACCACCTGTGAGTTAAATCTGGCCTGTTATCTATTTTTGTAAGTAAAACTGAACTGGAACACAGCCATGCTAATTTGTTTATGTATTGTCTATGTTGCCTTCACACTACAAAGGTAGACATGGGCAGCTATAATACAGACCAGATGACTCACAAAGCCTAAAACATCTATTATCTGGCCGTTTATAGATAATCTGCAAACCCTGGCCTATAGCCTCATACATACTATTCCCACTCTAACAAGAATTACCAAGAAAACAATTCTAAAAATCCTATAATATATAGTCCAGTACATATTTGTAAAAGTAAATAACTTTTTATGTAACCAGAACAATATCATACCTTTAAAATGTTATTAATTCCTTAATGTCAAATGTCCAGTTCACATTCAAATTTTTTTCAATTATCTCATAAAATTTTTTTAACTTTGTTTGATCAACTCAGGATCCAAAATAAAATCTATACACTGCAAACAGTTGCTCATCTAGTAATTTGTAGGTATCTCCTCCGCCCAGACGAAGCATGCTGCTGCTTCTTGCAGCATGCTGTTGAGGGATTCAGCCTTTCTCTTACCTAGTTTTTCAGAATCTGTTTTCATAGGCTGCCTCTCAGTAGCAACCAGTTGTTCCACTGTCACCTACACTTCCTATAAATCAGTACTTAGAGCCAGGTGCTTCATCAAACTTGGATTAGATATTTTTTAGAAGGAATTATATCCTTTCATCAACAGGAAAATAAGGTCTGGTTGTCTGTTCTTTGTGACATTAGATTTAATGGAGGCCAAAAATGGAGATATTCTATTACTCCATTTACTAACCAAAAATACCTCTCAAAATTTCTCTTCAATCATTTGACTGGCCTGAAGTAGAGCTCACAAAAAGAAAGCAGCATATATGCTTGATTCTTTTCATTCCTTCCTCATATTTACCAACCTTTAAAACAATCAGTTGGTTCCCTGGCATCTTCCAAAGACCATCAATAATTTCACTATGAAATCCTAAGTTAAAATATGTATTTGAAGTCACTGCAGCCAATCTGATTTTTTTTTCACACTTAATATTAGAGTAAACTCATCAACATTTATTGATGTTATCAATGTGGATGGCCTCCCAATCTGTCATTGTGTTAACTGTTAGATAAATTATTTGTGTGTGCAATATCTCACTATGGGATCTAGTCTACTTTCATATGTAATTTCATTTTTTAAATCTTTTAAGTAGAGAGGTTTATATTTTCTACTGCTTACCTTTGTACTAATACCTTTAGATAATACTTTTAGTCTTCTATTTTTGGGCTATTTTCTTTTTTCTCTAAACAATACTGAACTTAGTTAATCTCTTTTTGTTCTCCTTCAGCACCCCATTTCAGGTAATATCATTTTACTTCCAGTTAATTCTAAAAAAGGAACTAGTTAAATTACATAGCAATAACGATTTTTAAAAGGTAATGAGTGGCTTATACCAGTATTCATTCACATGCTCTTCCCTCAATATGTCCTTTACTTCTTATAATGATACTGTATCTACACTGCCACAGCCCCTTTATACACTACAGTGTCTCCTACACAATCATCATTTAGTCTAAACTCTACTTTACACATGTATTTAATGTTCCCTTAGCAGTTCTTATGCTCATTTGATTTTTCCCATACATAACAAGCTTTTTTAGTATGTAAGTCAAATTGTTTTTTATCTCAGTGAAGTTTATTTAAGTTATAGTTGCAGTATTTTGTTTCATTGCTTTGGTTTTCTTCATCAGGGACTTCTATTTTATGTATCATAGATCACTGTAAACCTATATATAGTTTTCCCCAAGTCCTTTCTCTTTTCCCATTTATTTTTTTATTTCAAAATGTTTTCCTTTCCTTTAATCTTCTATTTCTCTTCAGATATTATCTGTGGTGATTTATTCCTGCGTTCACTTGAACTAAGTTTTTATATCTAATATTTTTTATTTCCATTCTAAATGCTACTTTTTCTCTGCAAATCTTCCTTTTCATCAATCACCTCATAATTTTTAAAATTTTACTTAAGCTTTTATCATTATTACTACTTTCTTTAGCTTATTTTGAATTTTTTTTGTGATTATGTATCTCTGGAAGGATTTTATTCTTTTTTGGTTATACAGTGATAGTCTTTATGAGATTCAACTGAAATCCTTTCCTGTTGTCGATTAAATGAGACGCATTTTCTTACACTCTTAGGATGAGATGGTGGGCCAGGTAGTGTTGTGTTTCTAGGGCTTCCTCTAGAGGTTCCTAAAAATCCACGCCACCTCAGGACCATAATACCAGACCTTGATCTTCATTTCTAAATACCTTTCTTCACTAAAAGAAACCAGGACTTCTTGGGGAAATGGCTGACTTCAAAGCTGAGATAGAAAATTTTACTGAGCTAAAAAGTAAGATACTGCTCAAAGAATGAAAATGACACATCATAAAGACATCAGCCAATTTGAAGGAGTTCCTACTCACTGAATCTAGGGCAGTTTAACATCAAAAAAATGAGAGTAAAAGCTTACAACCCACTGAATAAAACCCAATCATAAGTCTACACTGAGGAAAAAAAAAAAAATATATATATATATATATACACACACACAGAATCTGCCCCCAAAAATGTATGGTATACACACTTCAGGAAAAGAAAAATTGTATGTTTTTTCAACAGATGGTGTTACTTTTGTATGGGGGACCCTAAAGGATGTCCTATATCACAGAAAAGCCAGTACACTGCCAGCCCTTAGAGAAGAAATTGAAAATGCATGTGTAGCAATCTCAATGACCAAGACTACCCAAGCACTCGTTTGCCATACTAATAAATGTCTGGAAGCTAACGGCCACCACACTGAGCACCTCTGGTAACTGTAGAGGCCAAAGATAACTTGCATTAGTCTCAGACTCCTCAATAAATTGAGTATTAAATATTCATAAAGTTTTTTGTACATATCCAATTAGGAAATGTAAAAATTAGAAAAATATTATTTGGTAACTAGTAGAATAATAAATTATTGTTTCAGACAAAAATCTATAAATTGATGCTAAAAACAGTGGGTTAAGGTTTGAAAAGTAATAGGCTATATTCATAATCTCTAAGACTCTTCCCATAAGATACTATAATTAAAAAGGGGAGAATAATTTTACAGTGGAAAAACTTGACATATACTAACTTAATCAAGTGATGAAAGTTAATATCATCATTAACATGATAAATCAACCATATGCATCTCCTAATAGGATACAATGAAAGGACGCAGTTTCTCTATTTTTCCTATGAAAACTACATAATGGAAAAGTACATAAAGGAAACATGACAAATCCAAATTGAGGTGATTCTACAGAATAACTTGCCTATATTCTTCAAAAATGTTAAGACAAAGAAAGATTAAGAAAATCAAGGAAAAATGATAACTGGAAGCTACATGATCCTAGACTGGATCCTGAATCAGAAACAGGAAGAGGACATAAAGAACATTGCTAGGACAAAGACATAATGAATATTATTGAGAAAATTGGCCTATATGTTTCAAAATACCAAAGCCATGAAAGACAAAGAAAGCCTGAGGAACTATTCCAGATTAATAAGGAAACTTATTTATGAGACATGACAACTGAAAGCTAAACATAATCCAGAATTTTCTTATAAACATGTTAAAATGTTATTGGGACAATTGGTAAAAATTATCTACAGATTAAATAATAGAACTGCATCAGTTACTTCCTATTTTTGATATTTTTATGGTGTCTGTGAATGCCATGTGTTTAGAGATACATTAAAGGATTTATGAGTAAAAGAACATCATGTCTAAAAGTGACTCTCTAACAGTTTGCTAAAAAGCATGTGTGGGCAGAGGAGAAAGGATAAAGTAAATGTGATAAAATGTCAACATTTGGAGAAACCTGGCAAAAAAGACTCCAAGAATTTTCTATACCGTTCTTACAACTTTCCTGTAAACCTGAAATCATTTCAAAATAAGAAGTTAAAGAAAAATATAAAAACTGGTGTTTTCTTGAATCTGCACCTCTCTTTCCTTCTTCTACCTTTTTTTCACATTTTTTCTTTCTTTTGCCTTTATTGTCTTTCTTCTGCTTAATTTGGGTTCTAGGGTTCCTTATTAGAATGGAGCTTTAGTTGTTCATTTGAAGAGTTCAGAGTTCCCAGACCGCTTAGCAGTAAGAAGAAAGAGGCCAATAAAAACAAAAAGAGCAGTGACCCAGTGTTCTGAAAAACCACCAGACTTGTACGTCCTAAACTCAGAGAACCTCACAGTGGTACAGGATCTGAAGCAACTGTTTTTTTCTGTATCATAAAAACCTAAGACTTTATGGAGAAAACTTTAAAAGATAGGAAAATGTACATTATTTCTTATACATATTTTCATTTAAAATGAAAATCTAAAAATGATAAGTAAACCTATGTGGGTGGACTGAAAACTCCAAGGCTGCACAATCGAAACTCTCACAGTAATATCATATCATGTCTCAACAGAAGTATTTTATTACCTTCTGGGGCTTCAAGGGTCTTCTTATTCTGCTCACACCACCCAATGGGGTAGAGATTAGCTTTTCTGATGTCACACCAGAAGTCTGCTCTCCGATCCTCCCCATAGCCGTCATAGCGGAGGAGAAGCAACTGCTCACAGGTGGTAATGACAGTGGCAACCCAGTAGGTTTCAGGATTTGTTTTCACAGCCACCTCCAATTTCATCCCAGGAGCAAATCCATTTTGCAAACGGATGTCCACCTAAACAGGGAAAATGTTAGTAGGCACCCAAGAAGTATCACAGATATTTCTCTGCCTAGTATTGAGCAAGAGGGGGAGAGAGGGAAAAAGAGCACACGTGCAGTTTTAGGGACTGAATCTAGGGCCTTGCCACACTAGACAAGTACTCTATCACTGAGATACACCCCCAGTCTATCTATGTTACTTTGAGACAAAGTCTCACTAACTTGCCCAAGCTAGCCTTGAATGTGCAATCTCTCTGCCTCCGTCTCCCAAGTGGCTGAGATTATAGACATGTGTTGCCATGCCTGGCTCAGCACTCTTTTAAGATTTGAATTCTCAAGCACTAAATGAAATAAAATCTTAAGAAAAACCTGAGAAATTCCCATTTTAATTTATAGGATTGATCCAGACAAACTACAGAAATAACAATGATCCTTCATCTGACAAGTGAAGATCAATATTTTCACCAAAGTCTATTGTGATTATAGAAATGCTTTCTGTTAACTATGTACATTACTAAATGCTTCCTATTTTAAAAGCCTTCAACATTGTGTTTTCGAGAGTGATTTCTAGATCACTCATCAGAAAATGTATGAAACTAGAATAGGGAAAGATCCAATATAACCTATGACAATAAATTAGTATAATACGTACTATATGTGGGGAGCTATACTTCACACTGTCCCCAAAATGGCCTATGTTTCTATCAGTTAGTCTTCAATAGTAATGTTCCCCTTAACTCTCTCAACACTGTTCTAGCTCAGAGAAAATATTATATGGTGACAAAGATAGAAAGTATCCATTCTGGAACTACCTTATGCATACATAAACCACTGCGATTTCTTCTTTTGGGAAATGCCTAAGTTAGTTGGCCAACTTTTTTCATTCAGTTTATATTCTGGGTACCAGTTCTATGAAAGTTATTTGTGTTGCAAATACCTTCTCATTTTCGTGATGATGTCATTCAACAAACAGAATTTTTTAATTTAATGTAGTCTTGTATCAATATTTGTCCTTTAAAAAGTCACTCCCTTTTCCGCATTTTCAACAAATCTTTCCCTGTCTCTAAAGCCATAAGGATTATATACTGTATTATTTTCTAGAAGCTTCTGGAATTTAGAACTGGTATCTACCTGGAATTAATCTGCACATGGAAATTAGGTGGGGCTGTGTTTTGTTTCAATATGAACATACAATAAAATCAGTACCTTTCCTAACCACTATAAATCATCACTTTTGATATAAATCAAGTGTTCTTACAAAAGTGTTTCTATCTCTGATTTGTTTTTTCTTAGAGCAGAACTCTTCTGTCTTAAGTTTGATATCTAGCAGAACCAGTCTTTATGTTTTATTTTTTAAGTGTGTCCAGCTATTTGCAGACCTTTATCCATATAAACTTCAGAATCAGCTTGTCTGTTACTTCCTAAAATGAGGTGGGGGGCGAGTTTGACTTGGGTTGCATTAAATCTACAGACTTATTTGTGGAGAACAGACATATTTACAGGAATGACTCATTATATAAACAAATTATATCGCCCTTTCACAGGTCTTTAACTTAGAATTGATAATGGTTTAGTTTCCTTACAAGTTTTTGTTACATTTATTCTTAGACATTTGATGTTTTTGGTTTTAATTTAGTTCAACATCATTCCAAATTTCTTTTGAGTTTTCTTCTATGACTCATGTGTTATTTAGAATTTTTCTGTCTATGTATATGGGTATTTTTATGTATATGGGGATTTTTAGTCTATCTTTTTGTTACTGATTTCCAGCTTCATTCCGCTGTGGTCTGGGAGTAGATAATGTACGATTTCTATTCCTGTAAATTTGCTATATGTGTTTTATGCCCCAGAATGTGGTCTCTGTCAGTGTTTCACATGAGTCTGAGATGAATGTGTATTTTGTTGTTATTGGATGAGGTAGTCCACAGATGTTCATTATATCCAGTTGATAGTGCTGCTGAACTGTGTCCTTACTCATTTTCTGCCTAATAATCTCCATTTCTGATAGAAGGGTGCAGAATCTTCCAACTATAATATCAGATGTACATTTACAAGTTTCTGAAGCTCTGTTGTTAGGTACACACATGTTGATTGTTATGTCTTCTTACAGAACTGACCTCTTTATCATTATGTAATATTTTTATTTATCCCAGATAATTGCTGTTTGAAATTAACATAATACTCCCACTTCCTTCTGATTGGTGTTAGCAAGGCATATTTACTTTCATATAGCTCTATTTTGTTTTATGATTTATTCTAACACTCTTTGATACAAACAACATTAAATTGATACAAACAACATTAAAATTAATTGTTGACATAGTTGGATTACTATTAACCATAGAATGGGCATGGTGGTACCTACTTTTAATCCCAGGTATTTGGGAGGCTAAGGCATGCAACTGATCAAGGGTTCAATCTCCAGCACACATGCACAAGTATATACACACACACACACACCCCACACACCCACATACTAAAACAAAAACAACAACAAAGAGCCCTATTTACCTTTTTTTAATTTGGAAAGGGAGATACTGGGGATTGAATCCAAGCCATCAGATTAAACAACATCCTCATCCTTATTACTTTTTATTTTGCGATAGGGCCTTCCTAAATTGCCCGATCCTCCTGTCTCATCCTCCCAGTTAACTGGGATTAAAGTTATGTACCACCATACTCAGCTAAAATTGAGGGATTTTTGTAGCTAGTAAATTTACCTTGCAAGAAATACTAAATTTTTTATAAGAAGGAAAGTTGGTCAGGCATGGTAGCACATGCTTGTAATCCTAGTCCTTGGGAGGCTAAGGTAGAAGAACTGCTGCAAGTTTGAGGTCAGCCTGGACTACACACAGTGAGTTTAAGGCCAGCCTGAACTAATAGCAAGACTATGTCTCAAAAAAAAAGAAAAGAAAAAGAAGGAAAAATTATACTCAGATTTAAATAAAAAAGGAAGAGGATTAGAGAAGGAATAAAACAGGGTACAACAAAGTATTTTCTTCTTATTCTTACTTGACCTGAAGAATTAAAGTTTGTTCAAATTAATAATAGCAAAAGGTATTTTCTGATGATAGCTTATAAGTATTACAGTATATGAACAGCAGCAATGTTATAAAGGACATATGGAAGGAATTGAGAATACTGTAATATGAAACAGTGCTACTTTAAAAAAACTTTAATTAATTCTAAATTTACATTGTGAACTCAAAATCTACTAAATATTTTTATACCAGTATAATGATATGCTAAGAGTACTGTGCTAAGTGAAATAAGACAGACCAAAAAATGAAATATATGCACTATGTGAAGTACACAGAACATAAAATAGAGGCTACCAGGAACTACAAAAAGCAGGGACTGGGAAGTTACTATTCAATGGTACTGAGTTTCTTTTTGAGAAACTATGTGTAGTGAACAATACTGTGAATACACTTACTGCCACTGAACTAGAAAATGACTTAAATGGTAAATTTTATGTATATTTTAACAAGTTTTGATGTAGTGATTGAAAGGTTTTCATTTTCTTTAAATGTATAGTATACTTACAAATAACATTTTACCACTTCATGTATCATATAAAGATCTTAACAACCATATACTCCCAAATTGACCCTCCCTTGTTTGCACTGTTATAGTTACAGGTATTACATAAACATATGATACATTTCTACTATTTTTGCTTCAGAGTTATCTCTTAGAGACACTGAATTTAAGAAAAAATAAACTTTATATAAGAACTTCCTTTAATATTTTTTGTAGTATAGGTCTAGTAATGATTTCTCTTTAATTTTTGTATCCTTGGCAAAAAGTATTTCTCTTTCACTTTTGGATGGAATTTTTGCTGAATGTAGAATTCTGGGTTGACCAGTATTTTATCTTCTTTTTTCTTTCAACATCTTAAAAGATCTTAACTCTACTATCTTCTGGATTAGTTTTTGAAAAGATTTTGCTGTAGTTCTTTGTTCTTCCATTTGCAGTATAGCTTTTATGCCTTAGATAGTCTTTAAGATTTTCTCTCTTTGGTTTCATAGTTCAGTATGGTGTGTCTGGGTTGGTTCTGTCTGTTTAGTATTCTGATGTACATTCCCTGAGCATCTCAGATTTATGGTGTGTTACCTTTGCTCCTATGGGAACTTCATTACTTCTCCAACTTTGTTTTCCTCACTCTCTTTTCACCCTTGGAGATTACAGTTACAAATACACTACACCACTTCATGTCATCTCATAGCTGTTGAGTGTTCCGTCTTGTCCCCCTGCTCTTGTTCTCTTTGTGTTTCAGTCTGGGTAATTTGTACTGATTTGTCTTCAAGTCTTATGGTCTTTTCCTCAGTTGTCAAGTCTACTGATGAGCCTGACAAAAGCATTCGTCAACTGTTATTATCATTTTCATTTCTGTTATTTCCATTTCGTTCTTCCTAACAGTTTTCATCTCTGCTAATATCGCTTTTCTGTTCATTCATGTTCTCTACTGTGCTAGGGCCTTTATCATATTAATCACAATTACTTAAAATTCCCTGTCTGATAGCTTCAACATCTGGACCATGTGAGTCTGGTCAGTTGATTGCTTTGTCTCTTAATAGCTTATTGTTTTTCTCTTGCTTCTTTACTTGCCCTATAATTTTTGGTTGAAAACAAAACATCATAAAACAATAGATACTTAGACAAATAATATTTATAGCTAGAAATGGGCATGTTTCTTCTTTTCTTAGGCCTTTAGTTCAAGGGGGAAGATTAAGTTAACCTAGTTAGCTGGGGAGAAGGGTCTGGGATTTGCTGTTGCTATGGTTACACACATACACCACAGGCTTCAAGTTCCTGTAGCATCATCCATGTACAGGCTCATCTGCCAGAGGATTCTTTTTGTCAATGCCTGTGGCTCCACCCTCAGACTCAGATCTTCGCTTGCCTTTCCCCCTACAACAGACCACTGTTACCCAACACTTTCTAACCTGGTGCTGAGAGACAGCTGAAGAGAAACACTCTGAGACTCGACCTCAGTTGTGAGGTGAAGTTTAGTCTGTGTCCCAGAGTCTTGCAGGGAACTTCTCAGTGACGCTACCCCTGCCTCAACTGTTGAGGACTCCTAACGCTTCAGTGTGTGTTCCTATCCCTCCCCCTGGGGCAGAAGGTTTATTTTTCTTCTGTTCTCCCCTAGGCTGCAACAGACTCTTACCTATGCCTCAGTGTTGATAGGGTTTATATTCCTTTCCTCAACAGCTTTAAAGCCAATTTTGTTTTGTTTTGTTTTGTCTAGAATAGCAGGTAGAGTTTAGTCTATCTAGTGTCAATGCTGTTGCCTTTAGGAAAGCTTTTACACTTCAAACTGATATGTGGGCATGGTGGCCTGTAATCCCAGCACTCAGGAGGCTGTGGCAGGAGGACCATTTCGAGTTCAAGACCAGCCTGGGCTACAAACTGAGTTCAGGGCCAACCTGAACTGCACAGTGAAACCCTGTCTCAAGACAAAAACAAAAACAAACAAAATCAAATATGATTTATCTCTAATTCTTTCTTTAGCCTTGTTTTCCTTTTTCCTGTGTTCTAAACCAGAACCTATAAAAGCCTTGCCAGATGCCTGTACATTCATCTCCATGGACCTGAAGATGTGGAGTTCTACCAGCTTTTCCTGTGATACCCTAATAGGCAACCCGTTCTCAGAATCTCCTCACACCCATGTTCGATTTTCACTATATGTGGTAGCCCTCTACCATATTCTATGGTTCAGGTTTACGAATATTTCCTACATTTAACAATGAAAAGTGTGCATTTCTCCTTTTTGCTGTGTCACTCACAGAAGAGAAGGGGAAATTTTTTACTCTAATTAAAAATGACTTGTTTATGTTTCATTTTTTGCGACAGGGTCTTGTTATGCAATTCAGACTGACCTTGAAGTCACTATGTAAACCAGGCTGGCCTTGAACTCACAGCAAGCCTCCTGCCTCACCCTCCCTGAGTGCTAGGATTACAGGAATGTGCCACCATGCCCGGCAAAAATGACATTTTTAAAACTACAGTTTAGGTAAGGGGACTTATTCTCTATTTGAACATTAGTATAAAATACATATCAGTATAGGAATAATTTCAAAAGTAAGAATTTAAAGGTATTACAGAACCACTAACAAGTTTTCCATGTTTAAAAAAAAAGTAATACTGAAAAAAGAAAAAAGGAGCCAATGTACTGTACCCCCAAATTTATATGCTCAGTTCTACTGTGACTGTATCTGGGAATGGGCCCTTTATGGAACATGTCTTAATCCATTCAGGCTGCTCTCATAAAGTATCTTAGACTGAGTTATTTATAAACAATGGAAATTTACTGCACATAATTTTACTTGCTGAAGAGCATAAGATCAAGGTGTTAGCAGATTCAGTGTTTGGTGACAGCTCACTCTGTACTTCACAAATGGTGAGTTCTTGCTGTGACTTCACGTGGTGAAATAAGCAAACCAACTGTCTCAGGCCTCTTTTAGATAGACAATAATCCCACTGATGACGGTGAAGCTCTCAGCCTCTACTCATCTCCCAAAGCCCTCGTCTCTTCATAGCACCACATCAGCTCTTCCCATCATGAGAATGGAGGATGGCTTTCAACATATGAATCTTTGGCAGACACAAACACTTAGATCACAGCAGATGCAGTTAGGTTAAAAAGATCACAGGGTGCAGCCCTGACCCAGTGTACGAACCACTCACATAGATGCACACACACTTGCTCATACATACATACTCACTCTCCACCCCATCCCATCCCATGTTATGTGAAGGCACAGCAAGAAGGCTGTTATCTGCAAACCAAGAAGCAAGACTTTATCAGAAACTGGTCATGCACACTGATCTCAAACTTTTAGTCTTTAGAACTGTGGAAAAATAAATTTATGTTGTTTAAACCACATAGTCCAAAGCAGACTATACATAGTAATTTCAGAGTCACTAATTTCACAAGTTTTAAAAGGAAGTTTAGCCTGGTACAGTGGTGCATGCCTGTAACTCCAGCATTTTGGGAGGCAGAGGAAGGAGGATCTTGAGTTTGAATCCTGCCTGGGCAACTTAGCAAGATCCTGTCTCAAAACAAAATTAGATTAGATTAGATTATATAAAATAGATAGGATGGTACTGAATCCAAGGCTTTTTCTTTGACCTATATCCCCATCTCACCTTTAACTTTTGAGACATGGTCTCACTAAGCTGCTAAATTACCCATGGTGGACTTCAATTTGCCACCTTCCTGCCTCAGCCTTCCAGAGTACCAGGGTTACAGTGTGTGTTACCATGCCCAGCTTAGACATAAATTATTAGTAAAATTTTTGGTATTTTCTTACATTCTAAAGTTATCACACAGATCAAATATGCTGCTCCTTGGTAAAGCACAAAGCTGGGCTGCAAAGGCCATTAGGAAGGCCGACTATATGACACATCTCTGCACAGCTCAGGGTTAAGCAGTTCACACTATTGGGAAAAACTGATGAACTTACTTTCTGTGAGTAAACCAAGAGTTTTAAAATGCAACAAAATACAAGAATGTGACACTTTGACAATTGAAGGATTTTTGTTTATTGTTTGTTTGTCTTTTGAGTCAGGGTCTTGCTATGTAGCCCAGCAAGGTTTGAACTTGGGCAATCCTTCTGCCTCAGCCTCCCAAGTGCTGCTATAGATATGCCCTATCATGCTCGGCTATTGAGAAGGGTTTTTGACAAAAATAAAAGAATACTTGTGAATAGTAAAAAAGATAAGTACTATTTTGAGGAGCAAAAAAATATACAAAACTAAAAAGGATTTTAGAATATGTCAGATTTTCTTGTCATATACCTATATAAACCCAGCACTTGGGAGGCTGAGGCAGGAATATCAGTCAACCTAGGCTATATAGTGAGTTCAAAGCCAGTCTGAACTACATAGTGAGATCCTGTTTCAGAAAGCAAAATCAAAAACAGAATATGTCAAGTTTACTTAATGAGAGTAATGGGAAGAAGGAAAAGGAAAAAGCGTTTAAATTTTTCAAATACCTCAACTTAAAATAACTCTAAATTGTCTACTAATTACACAGTGATTAAAAGGAAAAGGATATAATCCGTAAGCAAATAATTATTTCTTACATGTTTAAATGACCCATAGGGAACTGCTATGGACCCTGTCTCTTCTAGATAATCTTCCCAGCTTAATTCCACTTCTTCCATACCAGATCCAGCATCTAGAATTAAAAGCAAAACAAAACAAAACAAAAAATGGTCTCACTTTTTAAAAAAACTCAAAGCAAAACATATATAAAATTAGTAACCTAACTTACAGAATTTACTTCAGGACATGTTAAGGATTTTGCACAAAATAATTAAGTAGTTTTTTGTTGTTTTAATGGCAGGTTCCCGGAGTGCACTGATAGCAATGTATCAGTGAGTGCAGTAGTAGTTTGGCCTGCTAGCTCTCACTAAGGAAACATCAAATCTGAAGTTGAATCAAATGGATACAACTGTTACAATCACTATGGACTGCAATTTAGTATCTACTACCAAATATTTAATATATTTAATAGGTACTTCAAACTTAAACTTGCAATCTGATGCTTTCTAAGTATTCTCCAACTAAGTACCCTAATCAGTATTTGAGCTCAATCCAAAACATACAAAGTTTTTATCATTGTTTTATCAAAGTTTTCCCCTCCATTTCTTTCACACTTTAAATCACATCCATTAAAAAAAGTTCTGTAGTTACTATCTATAAATCATATCCCCAATCTAACTATTTCTCATCCTGCCTACTGATATCTCTAGTAGAAGGTCTATCTACAGTAACTTTCACCTTTGAATCCTCCTTACATAAGGTCTAAAATCTTTGGGAAACTAAAAAGGTCCTACATGATCTGACCACTAGCCACCTAGTCTTCCACTATATCCCCATCTATACTCTCACGACCTTTAGGTGATAAAGAGTTTCTTGCCACTCTTTAATCATGCTCTCTCTGCAAAGCCTCTAAGTTTACTGTTCTCTAAGCCCAAAGATTTATCTCCCAGTGGAGATCACATCTTCATCTCATTCAACTCTCTCCTCAGGAAGGCCTTCCATCAGTACTCACCTAAATGGGGTTCTGCTTCCACTTTCTTCATGGCATTCATTCTTACTTGACCATGCACCATGTATCTTTTAAACTTCCCCAATTATACCATAAACTCCACAAAGACAGAAATTTTGCTTTGGTCTCTCCTATATCTCTGTCATGGGCACTCAAAATATCTGGTATATAGTAGAAGTCTTCTTTCATGAGTGTCTTTAAGAGGTATGATAAAAATAGAGTAAATGTTGCTATTGAGTGCCACCCAATGGAAAGGCAGGTTTCTAAAAACATTATGGTATGTCTTCATCCACAGGATCTGGCACTGTGTGACTTCTGGCTCCTCCCCAAAGTCAAAGTGATCATGAAAGGTAAACATTTTGAATTGATTCAGGACATAGAGGTACCCACAATAACAACAAAGACACTCACCAGAGGACTTCCGGAACTGATTCAGAAAGTAGCAAGAACAACAGGATAAGTGTGTTCAAAGCATGCGGGGATATTTTGAGGGGATTAACAGGAATGTACCTTTTATTATAATATATTTTTAAAAATTAAATATCCACTGTACTTTTCAATCACACCTTCATATATTCTTGTAGAACCATGGCTGGAACAGAGCAAGTTCTCAATAAAAAGTTCAATATACTCCAGGGGGACCAATGCTTCCCATGGACACAAGAAGGCAAATATGAATACTGTATAATTACCACATTATCTGTAATAGTAATACACTAGAAGCAAAGATAAAGTGTTGTAATCCTTCAATGGAACACTATTTTACATTTACAGCAGGTGAAAGGAATGCTAGTATTAACATAAATCTCAAAAACCATAAGTAGAAAAGATAAGTGCAGAATGAAAAGCACAGCTAGAAAGAATTTAGGCTTCAAAATAAAACTGCATTATAATGTTTATTAATACATGCATGTTATTAAGAGTATAAAAACAAGAATGGGAAGAGTATGTCTGAACTTCATCAATGTTACTTTTTTGGGGAAAAAGCTAACCAGATTAGAAGGAAATACAAATAATATTGTTTTACTTCTTTTTAAAAATGGAAACACATGCAAAGAAGTCCAATATTACTAATCATATGGAAATGCACATCAGAACTACAATGAAATCGTGTCTCACACACATTAGAATAGTTATTTCAAAAAAGCAGAAAATAACAAGTGTTGATAAGAATGTAGTCAAATTAGTACCATTATGCACTGCTGGGAGGAATGTAAAACTGTACAAAACTATATGGCAGCTTCTCAAAAAGTTTTTTAGAAATTATCACAGGATCCAATGATTCCATCTCTGGGTACATGCCCAAAAGAAATGAAAGGGATTCAAACAGTACTTGTACATGAATGTTCCTAGCAACAATATTCATAGTAGCCAAAAGGTAAAAGTAACCCAAGTTTCCACCAATAGATGAGTGGATAAACAAAATGTGGTATATGCACATAAGAGAATAGTATTTCGCTTTCGAAACAAATCCTGCTACATGCTATGACATGAATGAGCCTTGAAGACATTATGCTAAGTAAAATAAGGACATCACAAAAAGTAAATGCTATATGACTCCATTTATATAACAAACCCATAGTAGTTATTCTACAGCCAGAAAGTACAATGGTGGAAAAAAAAACTAGGGAGTTATTTAAAGGGACTGAAGTTCTACTTTGGGAAGAAGAAAAAAGTTGTGGAGATGAATGGTGGTGATGATTATATGACAATGTGTGCGTACTTAATGCCACCAAACAGTATCCTTTAAAGTAGTTCATGTAGTAAAATTTACATTATGAACATTTTAGCACAGAAAGTATAAACAACTATTGGGCAATGTTACCATTTTCTAACTATTCAGGTACATGACAGTTTGTTATACTTTTTCCCATGTTTTCATGTACTTGAAATTTTTCACTAGGAATACAAGCTGACAAAAAGTGCTTGGAAAGAAGCAGACGTACAGGCCAACAGAAAGTCATCTGCCATTACTTAAACAAGTAGGCTGACTGTTCATGATCCTAGGGAAGGAACCTAGTCCTTTAAGCAGCATGCTAATTTAAAAATAAAACATAAATACTGAGAATAAAATTTGTAGATTAATCAACCAAAATCTCTTACACATTAAAAATTAGTAAAACTGAGAAGCAATAAGATTAATGATCTGATGGGATGATAAGCAAAACACTGAAAAGAGAATATAAAAAAGAAATAGAAAATAACTTTAAATATATGAAAATGTACAATTTTTCACTTTAATAAAAATGTAAATTAAAACTACACTGAGGTACCAGATTGGGAAGAACTTCAAAGTCTGAAAATATACTCTATGTTGAAATTATAAAACAGGTAAAGCACAGTCACACAACTCCTGTGGAAGAAAGCTTGGCAATATCTAGCAAAATTGCATATGTATTTACCTTTTGATCCAGCAATCCCACTTCTAGGAATCTATCCCAAAGATATGCTGGCAAAAATACAAAAAGACATATGTACAAGTCTATTCACTGCAGCACTATTTGTAATACCAAGACTGGAAATAACCCAAATGTTCCTCAGTAAGGAACTGACTGAATAAATATGGTATATCCTTCAAGTCTATACACCAACACCAAGCTATTCAGTTCTACAAAGCTATAAAAAGCAATGAAAATAACCTCTATATAATCATGCAGAACAATCTCCAAAATATGTTAGGGAAAACAATAGTATAGAACACTTTTTAACAATCTCTAGTTCGTACAACATGGGACAGATAGAAGTGTGAATGTGTGTTATAAACAGAAATGCAAATAAACCTTAATATACAAAAATGTCCAATTATATGCACACATACATTGATTTGTTTCTATTTTTAAAATGAAAATAAGTTAAAATGTAATAAACCTAAGTATGTGGGTGAAGGAGCAAAATAAATAGTATCAGGCTTAAAGCCACAATCTTATTACAGAAATTTGGTACTGTAAAATATGTAGATACTTTACACAAGTCAGAAACATAATTAGAATGGTAGAAAAATACAAAAATTGCAAATAGACTGAAACAAATAACCCTATATAAAACCCCCAAAAAAGCAGGATTCCATTAACTCATGTTAAAATTCAATATTCTGACCTCAAACCACAGTGGAATTTATTTAAAGTCAAAAACCATAAAGAAATGTCAAAAAAAAAGAGAAAGAAATGTCAAACTGCTTATTGCTAACTTATGAATATTTGGAATGTTGGTATTATTACTTGGAAATAACTACAGGACTACTATAGGAAATGCCAAACAAGATAAGAAATCGATGCAAAGAAACACCAAAATCAAACTTCTGAAAACTAAAGAGAAAGACAGAAATCTTGAAAGTAACAGAAGAGAAATGACACCTCTATCAAACAGGGTAAAATGGGGGAATCTCATGTTGGAAAAAGGGATATATTCCTGGGACAGTACATTTCTCATGAAGGCCACAAGGATGAGGCATACTACCTTTCAAAAGCACGAAAAAGAAACAAAATTTTAACCTATAATTCTATATCTAGCAAAAGCATACTTCACTAATAAATAGGGAAATCAGTATATTCTCAGATAAAAAGGAAACTAAGAAAAATTGTTGCCAGTAGACCTACCCTAAAAAAATGTGAAGAAAATTCTCTAAATAGAAATAAAATGAAAAAAAAACCTTGGAGTAACAGGCAAGAACACATGGCAGTGGAAAAAATAAAAATATTAAAAAATATAACACATTTTCCTTCTCTTATATACTCTAAACTACACTTGACAGTTTAAACAAAACAGTTAACAACGTCTGTTATGGTTCTGAAAGTATGTAAAGAAACTATTTAAGGTAGTATAACAGGGTCAAGGGATGTAAATATAAGGTTTCTAGACTTAGTAAAGTGATGTTATGTTACGTATACAGAATGCAATACCTACAGCTACCAATAACAAACCATATCAAAGGTATACACTCAAAAACATTATAGTCAAATAAAAGTAGAATTTAATGAAAGTGTTAGGATAACTCCAAGAAAAGTGGGGAGGCAAGTTCAAGCCGTCAGAAATCACACAAAGTGTTGCAGGCTGAACAAATTCAGTTCCAGCCTCACAGCCAGAAACCAGCCTGAACTTCCGTAGAACTATGAAGGGAGGCTTGT